CGTGTCTGGGGAAAGGTGAAACTGGGAGCATAAACAGCGCCATTCTCACAATTGTTGTTGATTCTAGGCATCATGTGGACCCCGATAAAGCTTCTTGTATGATTTCTAAGGTTCCACCGAGCCATTCTAAGCTACTGAGCCAGCCTACATTAGCAATAGCAGAAGCGGCCACTATCAGGTTATGAGAGCCGGTCTTGTATTCGCGGAAGAACCTTGTTTGGGCGCCGCGCCTACCGTGGTCACAAGTCACGCTCTTTCACTCTAACCCCTCCCCAAGCACTGACTCGTTATCCTCCCCCTGCCTATATTTCCACATCTCGCCTGTGTTCTAAGCCTAATTTTAATCAGTTTCTCTAATAACTGGCGTGTTTTACTTGATCTCATTCCAGTATAAATGACGAGAATTTATCAAAGACAAACGTATGCTATCCGACTAGTCTTCAGGAAAACTAAAAAACTTGGCGAAATGCGCCTGAGTTAAGCGATTGATAAGGTGCCCCCATTGTTCCCTAACCCACATTTTTTATCTTAGACATTGTGCGCTACTTAAATCAAATTTGAAGGCAAATGCGCTCTTTTGGAAAATTAGAAAAAGATATACTAGGCATTCGACACTGGTTTCCTAAGTCTTCGTCAGACTTGGATAAATGTGCAAAAAGTGGTTAACATTTCAAACGTGTTTTAAAATCGACACTCATCCGGTGTTTGCGCCAGTAGGCGGCTGCCGTGTCCGTCATTCTGCATTGATTGATTCTCGTTTCTTCTATTTCTCCCTGAGATCTTTGTACGCGGCGTCTAACTCAGTGCGCTGACTGATGCGTGACTCATCAGAGCGCATGGCTTCAAGAAGCTCCGACGGTGCGAGTTTTGTCTCAGGTCCAGGTGTACCCAGTATCAAGGGTACTCGTGGTCTCACCTCTTAACTGCAAGATGATGTTCGTGGGTGCTTATAGAGGCGAATTTCCCTATTTGGCCACAATATACTGCATCGTAGGCATCACCTGGAATCTTATAGACGGCTTCCTTCTTATCCAGACAGCCAACCCTATCCCTAGGGTATATAAACTGGGTGCATAATGTAGTCGGCGATTCGTGAGCCACTTTTGGTTTTGCTTCAGTTGTCTTTCAACGAGTTCAGACACATTTATGATATAAATAAGAATTCGCTAAGTGTTTGTTTTAGACACTTGGTTGGGACTATCTAGTTCCGTTCCGACTTGTTGTTTCGTGCGTCGACGTGCAAAATCTCTAGGGCAACCATTTTGAGAAAAGAGTTCAAGCAGGCGATTTAGCTCGACCCGATGGCCCTCTTAGTCAGGGCAATGTGTTTTTGCTCGATGTAGCCCCAAATTATAATAAAACCTACAAACCGTGCCTTTCTTATGCTAAAATTCGACCGACATGGAATTAGAACTTGGGTCGAGTTGGTCATTGACCTTGGCCTTTTTCGTTCAGCTACAAGCTCGTGCTCCGCTGAGAGGACGCGTTCAAGTTTGCGGATGTCACCCTCGCTTCACTCTGGTTATTTTCGATTTTATAACAGCCAGGATAACGGACACACCCCAACTACTACATTTCCAGGGCCAGGTACCGTAGAGGAGATAGTGAAATATACAGTAGGAGACCCATATTCTACAAATAAGCCTGTCAGCGGTCTGAACCCTCGAGACACGGCCGGTGCCAGCCCTGGCCGCGCGCGCCTCCGTGCAGGCGAGATGGTTGCGAATGATTGAGTCTCAGCTTGGCAAGTTGATTAGATGATTCCTAAGTCTGTGAACGCCTGCAGCTGGCTATTTCAGAGGCCGAATGCGCTCACGTTCCATCCATCCGGTGGCGGTGATCGCGCAAACCCTAAGATGACATGTGTGTCGGCCTGGGAAGAAAAATATGCGTTTGAGATGCCCGCGGTTGCAGCCAACAGCACCTAAGTGTTCGACTCACCTGGTTGAATTGTGACCTCTGACCAACAGGGTCAAGGCTCAGAGCTTCCCGGTCTGACTGACTGCCGGTAGAGTTGTCATTTCAGTCTCCCTGTTTTCGATTGTTTTACTCTTGCAGAGATACACCTTGTGCTCTGGAAAACCTGCTGCGGTTAGAAAGATATCAAGAAATCCGTTTGAACAGAATTTTATCACCGACAAAGATAAGGGAGACTGACATGGCTATTTGTGGCTTATTAACCTTCGTCAGCCAGTGATACCCAACCCCGAAGTGTGGAACACCCGGGGCTCGATCCTTCATGCCTGGTGAACGAAATTAGCCATTCGTCGGCATAAAAGAAGTCTAGGTGTTCTATGGCAAAATGACGTCCTGCAAGGATCATCAGCATATTATACGCAGTCGCTGAGGAAATAATAATAATTATTATTATTTTTATTAAAGACCCGTCGGGGTCCCATCAAAGCAAGTAAAAATAAATTCACATGCGAATTATAAACTAGGTAGGCAAAATCAGTGCAATTTGCAATACATATACATGCGTGTTCTCCTGCTCGGCAAAGTAGCTTCTCTAATGGATGATCAGGTCTTAGATAGTAGTGATCGGTGTCGGAATGCCTAGAGATAGCGAAGATTCCAGAGCCGCTGTCCTTTACCCTAAGTATGGTTTTTTGACAAAATTATTGTCCGCTAATATAGCTACTCTGGCATAAAAAGTGTTGGGAGTGCCTACACTCCCAAAAACAAGTGCCAGCCAATCACGGGAGGTCACGTGCGTTTTCTCTACTGTGCTGTCATCTTAATCGTGTCGCCTCTTCATTGGCTTTTCCTCTCGGGGCTGATCGATCAACATATTCTAATTATCTACCGGCTCGTCTCGAATGTTCTTCCCGAAGGGCATTGGGCCGAACGCCGGCGAAGCACAGTAGGGCGTTATAACTATGCGTTACTTTCAGTCAATTTTGACTTGAAATTTCCTAATACACATTTTCGTGGCCGGTCGCGTTCTCCTTCTCTGCCGCGTTGGTATTGGGGGGTCTTGCAGCTCGGCAGGGGAGCGACCCACGATGATGATGTCGTCCAGGTACCCAGCTGTGCCAGGGATGCCGGAGAGCATTGCGTTCATCGTTTGTTGGAATAGGGCCGGGGCGGTCTTGACACCAAAGGGCAGCCTGGTGTATTGGAACAGACCGCGATGGGTATTGATTGTCAACAATTCGCGCGACTCTGGGGCGACCTCGATCTGCAGATACGCATCAGCGAGATCCAACTTGGCAAAGCAAGTGACACCATTCAGCAGGGTGAAAAGATCAGTCGAAACCGGTAGTAGATAGCAGTTCGGCGTCAGTGCGGCATTGAGACCGGTGGAGATGTCGGCACAAATGCAGATCGAGCCATTGGGCTTCTTAACCCAAACGATTGGAGCGGCCAAGGCGGAGTAGGATACAGGAACCAGAACTCCCAGTTCCTCTAGACGTTTCAATTCAGCCTCGACAAGTGGTAGGGCTGCATATCGGACTTGTCGCTTTGAATGGAAGACTGGTTGACTCCTAGGAGACAGATGTAGCACGGCTTGAGTGTATGTGCAACGACCCAGGCCGTCTTGAAACACTGGGGCAAACCGTTGGAGAATGTCCTTGGCTTGGTCTGCAAGCACAGCCGGAATCTGCACCTGACTGCAAACAACGCGGAGCGGCATATCGGTCAATCCAAGTTGTGCATTCCAGTCGAGACCAAGTAGGTTGAGGTCAGACTTGGTGATGTAGCAGATCGCAGTGATGCTGGTACCGCGGAACGACACACAGCATTGCAGTTGCCCAATTAGCTGTACAAGACCACCGCACGCGCTTGTGGCGGACTGGGAAGTCTGCTGCATCGTTGGGCTGCCAAGGGACTGCCAGAGTCTCTCAGAGATGATGGTGATATCTGAGGCAGTGTCCAACTGTAGTCGAACTGCATGGCCATTGAGCAAAACGTCAACAAATTTTCTACGACCAGACGCATTGAGCTGGAAAGCGGCCAAGAGACTCAGGGAATTACAGACGGATTGGATTTTGGACTTGCATTTTGGCCGGAAACGGTGCCTGGAAGTAGAAATGGCGGGGGCTGGCTTGCATCCAGAAGCTGGTGTTGATTTGCGGAACCCACCACAATGTCCCACCTGATTACAGCTTTGGCAGCGATGCTGGCTGAATGTGTAATCCAGGTGTAAATGCCACGCGCCACAGTGGCGACAAGGAGATGGCGGAGATCTCGCCTTGCACACTTGCTTGGGCCGCGATTTGGTCGATGTGACCGAATGCACTGAGAAAGATGAGGCAGGGTTCTGAATCATTGCAGAGTCGTGCTTGAGGTTGATCAGCGTTTGACACTCTGCTACCAGCTCTTGGAGTGTGATAGAGTTGTTCTGCTGTACTATAGACAGGAGACGTGTCCGCATATCAGCGTCCTTGGACGACTGGAGGCCGCAGATAAATAAAATGCATTTAAGCTGGTCTTCAGTGAGAGAACCGAGTTGGAAACGCCCACACTCACGATCGACAATGACCGCATACGTGATGAAATCATCGGAATCTCGTTTGCAGAGTTGCAAGCACTGAAATCGAGTGTTGAAAAGAGATGATTGCTCACCAAAAATCTGCGACAACGTCTGAACATTGTCCTTGAAAGGGACATCTCGGGAAATCTTGGGGAGGATGAAGTTGGCATAACGCTCATGTTCAGCCGGACCCAGTTTGCGAAGTAGAAGTCGAACCTTTCATGCATCGTCCTTGGCAGTCAGATCGACAGAGAACAAGTCCTCGTATCGTTTGTACCAGGAATCGAAGGTGATATGGGCCTGCGGGTCATACAAGAATTCAGTGATGCTGCTGGCAATGTGATCGACAGGATGCAAACCACCAGCCACCGCCACCAGCACCGCGCTTGATTGGCCGAAGGACGAATTAGATAGCTTGACGGTCAGAGCCTCCACCAGCTTCAGCTGCTGCTGCAACATTTGCTTCAAGTCGGCGTACTCGTCAGCCATTTTAGTTAAAAAACTTCGTCGCCAATTTGTTATGACCCGGCCTGGTACTTGAAATCCTGTGGAGCGTATGCGCACTCGACCCTTGTTCCCAATACCAACGCGGCAGAGAAGGAGAACGCGACTGGCCACGAAAATGTGTATTAGGAAATTGCTAGTCAAAATTAACTGGAAGTAACGCATGTTTATAACACCCTACTGTGCTTCGGCCCAATGCCCTTCGGGAAGAACATTCGAGACGAGCCGGCAAGTGCCAATTCTTCCTCGATTCCATCAAATACCTTGGATTCGTTTTTGACGTCACTGGTCGCCATCCAGATCCTGAAAACTTTCGGGCCATCCAACGGATGCCTGCACCCAAGAATGTACCGTAACTTCGTTCGTTCCTTGGCCTGATCAGTTACTATAGCGCCTTCCTACCATCGCTGCATGACGTACGGGCCCCGCTCAACCGTCTGTTGCAGAAGGATGCTCCTTGGTGCTGGTCCCCCGACTGTGAAAAGGCCTTCGCCCAGCTAAAGTCGGTGCTGAGTTCAGATCTGCTGCACACGCACTACGACCCGACGCTGCCGATCGTTGTTGCTGCAGATGCTTCCAACCACGGAGTTGGTGCCGTCATCTCACATACTTTTCCTGATGTGTCTGAAAAGGCGATCATGCATGTATCTCGCACGCTAACCACCGCGGAGAAGAACTATGGGCAAATAGAGAAAGAAGCTCTGGCCCTCGTGTTTGCCGTCAAGAAATTTCGCAAACTGTTGTACGGTCGCCACTTCACGTTGTTGACGGATGAAAAACCATTGCTGTCAATCATCGGTTCGAAGAAGGACATTCCCGTCTACTCAGCCAGCCGACTTCAGCGATGGGCAACCATCCTTCTTGGTTACGACTCTGACATTCGCTACTGTCGTACTACAGACTTTGGTCAGGCTGACGCCCTTTCTCGCCGCATCAGCAATCAGCAGGAACCGGAGGAAGATACCGTGATTGCCGCTATTTCGATTGACGACGATGTGCACCGTCAGTTATCAGATGCCATACGAAGTATCCCTGCCACTGCCGCGGACATCCGGCATGCTACTGAACAGGATCCTGTCCTCCGTCAGGCCATCACCTACGTGTAGACCTGCTGGCCAACCATTGCTCTCGCTGGTGATCTTCGTCAGCTCTTCCTCCGCCGAGCATCGCTATCTGTGGTTGACTCCTGCCTCATGTTTGCAGACCGTGTGGTGATCCCATCTTCCCTTCGACTCACTGTACTACGCCAGTTCCATGCCGCTCATCCTGGTACCAGCTGAATGAAGTCAATTGCTCGCAGTTTTGTTTACTGGCCGGGTATCGACGGCGACATCGACGACCTGGTTCGACGCTGTTCTCGATGTCAGCAAGCTGCCAAGATGCGCCTCGTCAACCGCCCGTACACTGGGAATCACCGGAGAGGCCTTGCTCACGCGTGCACATCGACTTCGCTGGCCCACTTAACGGAGTCTGCTACCTAATCTTGGTTGACGCCTACTCGAAGTGGCCAGAGATTGCTCCGCTGAATCCAGCAACCGCATCTGCCACTATCGCCTTCCCACGACGCATCTTTAGCCAGCATGGCTTACCAGAAGGCCTGGTTTCAGATAATGGCTCTCAGTTTACCTCGTCGACGTTTGAAGATTTCTGCCGCCAGCACAACATCCAGCATCTTCGCTCCCCGCCCTACCATCCTCAGTCTAACGGTCAGGCGGAGCTTTTTGTCGACACTTTTAAGAGAGCCCTTTTGAAAGCTCGTGGGGAGGGGACCACGGACGAGATAGTCCAAGCGTTCCTGTTTTCCTACAAGACAACACCGAACCCGGCGTCCCTGGTGGCGTATCTCCTGCCGAAGCGTTGATGGGCCGAAAACTGCGGACAACATTTCATGCACTCGTCCCTACCGGTGCGCAACCCGCGCAGACTTCTCCAGTCTCTCGCAGCATGCTCTCCATCGGAACACCTGTCTTCGTTCATGATTATCGAGCGGGGTTCCCAGACTGGATTGAAGCAACCGTATTAGCGCACAGAAGCAGTATGTTGTTTGACGTCGACGTTGGTGATGACATCTGGGTTCGCCACCACAACCCGATCTGACGGCGACACTGCAGTAACACAACTGGGCTCGAGTCGGCGCCGTCACTCTCCCTTGAAATCCTACTGGATACCTTCGCCATTCCGGCAGATCAGTCGGTTCCCGAACCCACTGCTGCGCCCCCTTCGGATATACCACTTTCGGTATCAGTTACAGCTCCCGTATCTCCAGGCATTAAATCACGACTTAGATGCCGGACCAACCGCGTGCGCCGATCAACACGGCTGATGCAGGTCAACCCACGCCAGAAGCGGTACTGACCTACTTGGAGGGGAGGTGTTGGGAGCGCCTACACTCCCAAAAACAAGAGCCAGCCAATCACGGGAGGCCACTTGCGTTTTCTCTACTGTGCTGTCATCTTAATCGTGGCGCCTCTCTATTGGCTTTTCCTCTCGGGCCTGATCGATCAGCATATTCGAATTATCGACCGGCTCGTCTCGAATGTTCTTCCCGAAGGGCATTGGGCCGAACGCCGGCGAAGCACAGTAGGGCGTTGTAAATATGCGTTACTTACAGTTAATTTTGACTTGCAATTTCTTAATACACATTTTCGTGGCCGGTCGCGTTCTCCTTCTCTGCCGCGTTGGTATCGAGGACACGGGTCGAGTGCGCATACGCTCCACATGATTTCAAGTACCAGGCCGGGTCATAACAAAAAATTAAATGTGTCCCCCCCCCCACAAAAAGTCTCACACAGTAGTAGGAAACCATACCAGAATTTCCGCTCCGTACTGGGGTACTTTAAACATCGCTGGGGTTCGTTCATCATCCAGAGGTAATAGTTTGGAGAAAAGCTTCCGATTTTTTTCGGAGGACGGATGGTACCCTCGTTCAAAAAGAACCATCGCAAGCTAGTACACATCCACCCTGTGATCATCTCTGCTAACCTTGGACCTCACACGTGTGCTTGTCGGAATAAGATGGGATGACAAACTAGGACCCCCAAATCAGAAGTCAGGACGACAGATTCGGTTAGGCAGGTTTGTACGGAGGATTGAGAACGTACGATCGGTTCAGCACGTCGTCTCTTAAGGCATTTGTGTCAGTTGTCGCGAGTATTAGTTCCCAGCATAGGTGTCATCCTGACTCTATCCGCGTGCAGTCCATCAGCGAAGGACGAGGCGTCGATTGGTGCTGGGCTCCTGTTTCGCTGTAACCAAGCCTCGCACTAGCCTAAACAGACTAAGAGGGAGCGAGGGGCGACATGAGTCGGCAGCCGCGCCAAAGACCACGGGTGCCGATTGTTATAGTAACACGAAGAGGGAGACACTATCGTTGGAACAAAAGCTTTATTAGCCAGACGTTTCAGATTCTCACTCGAACCCATCATCAGAGACAGAATCAGATAAAGGCGGTAAGTTGCCCAGGTGTTGCAGTGTTTATTGGATGTAGTTGCTACACTGCTACGTGCCTATCACAATTGGCTGCTCCCGAGTGCATCGCGCTCCGACTGGCCAGGTGCTGAATTATGCAGTTGCTATACGTTTGTATGCTGGTCAAGATTATGGGCTCCCACGCTTATCGCACGCAGTCCAGTTGCTGGCTGTCTGATTTCGTCATTCGTGTGGATGCTTGGGCAATTTGACTCGCCGGCATTGACACCAGGAACAGTGGTCATCCGTATGCTCTCCTTCCGACTACCTACGTTGCCTAGACAAAGTCTCACCGCCGAATATGGAGTAGAGAGGTCGTTGCGCTTATTGATTGATTGAGTACAGGAAAACCATGACTCGAGCAGTTCGCGGCTCACGCGGTTGCCAACTCTAGCAAGAATTTCTGCTTCGTCACACTTAAATATATGGTTGGGTCTCGTCGGCTAGATTAGTTTCCGGGTTCAGAAACAACATTATACTTCGATGACTAGTCACACTCCAGTTCTTAAACATTCTTAAGCTAGTGCTAGTCGTTCTACATATGCCGAACTTCGTTTGGCTATTGAACAAAATAAATATGGGAATTTAAATCAGTTGGCTTCTAGGACTATCCTAGCCATTGGAGTCAGTCTCACACAAAAGCACATGCGCGCGTCTCCCACGCTGCGTGCCATGAGCATACGCCCAATAGAGTCCCGCATTAACTGTGGCCACAGTATTCGCGCCAGATCTGATTGATCCACGTCTGCGAGAAGCTGTTCGAGTTCTCTAGAGTTTTCTCTTCAAGTGTATTGGATGGAATATTGGCCAATGCGAACGGGATTTTACAAATACACGCAGTTTTTCAGTGACAATGACTTGCAAGTTTTAATGCATTTTTTCAAGGCCGATTATGTTCTCTTTCTTTGCCGTGTTGGTGATGGGAGTAAAAGTCGAGTGTGTTTTTTCAGTATCAGGCCAGGTCATAACACTGGTGCCGTGAATATACCTCTAGGAATAGAGGTTCGGCAAAACAGGTGTCGAAAGGTCTTATGTGCTCCCAAACAT